CTGTCATCCCCGCTAGGCAGGAGGCAGAGGAAGGAGGATCGCGGACTGAGGCCATCCTGGGCAAAAAAAAAATAAAGCAAGATCCCATCTGAAAAATAAGTAAAGCCAAAAGGGGCTGGGGTGTGGCTTGAGTGGTAGGGCCCTGCAAGAGCGAGGCCCTGAGTTCAAACCCAAAAAACCCAAATAATTCTGCAGCCGGTATCTGTGTGGCTTCCCTGCTGTGGAGGTCTTCTCAGACGTGGGGTCTGCACCGTCCCCCCTTTCCAGGTTATGCCCGGGTCGTTCGGTCAGCCCTGTATTTTGGATACTTAGGTCATTTGCAGTTCTCTGTCTCACTCAGTGTCAGATGTGGGGCTCCCGGGACCCAGCGAGGAGCGTGTGTTGCTGAGGGCTGACTCCGGGGTCACGGTAGTTTACACGTGCACACACTCGTGTCCCCACAGGCACACGTGCACTCAGGGACCCACGTGCACACACGTAGGCAGGCTGCCTCATTTCTCTGAGCCTCAGTTTCCCCGTGTCACCAGAACGCCGGCTCGCCGTCCCTCAGTCGTCCTACAACCCGTGCAGCTCTTAACGTGAGCAGAGCTGCTGTCCCCGGGTGAAGTTAGTGACCGTGTTCATCACCCATGGTGTGACAGCTCGCCACCGCAGGGTGCCAGCACGTGTGCTTGTGGGGCTTTCACGCCGCCCGCCCCGTGTCCGTCAGCCTTTTCCGTTACGGTCCCCCGAGGGGCCGTTCCAACCCGCCGCGCGCTGGGTGTCTTCCCACGAGGACGCGGCGTGCAGACAGGCTGGGCGCCGTGTGCGCTTACGTGAAGGGGCCGCTTTGGAACCTGTCCTCGTCCCCTGGGAAAATGTCACTCCTGTTACAAATGGTCCTGCCCGGTGACTTAGCCCCTAGGGGACGTTTGGCCTTTGGGGGCCTTCAGAATCACTAGGGGCGACTCTAAGTCCTGCCCAGTGGTGACCCATGTGCTGGCCAGACAGTGCCTTGACCCGGGGACAGTAGGAGCCACCGTGAGAGGCAGCTCTGTCCGTCTCGGCACAGATCCGTCTCTCTGTTTCCCGGGGCCCCTGGCATTCCGGAGGTGGATGGGATGCAGGGGGACCTCGCTGTGAGTAGGGACAGGCGGCGCCTGGACACTGGACAGGCCATGAATGCAGCCCAGGCTGGCTGGGCACCAGGAGGGAGCCGAGCCCGTGACTCAGCTGGACGGGTCCTCCTCCCTGGGGCTGGTGTTGGTCAACAAAGGAGCCTCCATGCTGCTGGCCCCCGGGGAAGAGGGGCCCGCCACGCCTGGCCCCGAGTCCCGCTCCTCGGTCTGCCCCGGAGGGATGGCTGCCCGCTGTTAGCAGTGCCACGCCAGTGTCTGTCCTTGAGGACGGGGTGCTCGTCCCCATGACAGGCTGTCCCCACCCATCCAAATCTGTCACCTTTGTAAGGCCGAGGTCATGTCATGTTCCCTCTGCCAGTCCTGCTGTCACCTCCCGCTCTGGACCATCTTCCCCTGTCCCCTCTTTGTGATGTTCTGAGGACCGTGCCTGCAGTGGACAGGACACCTGGTGGCCAGTGGGGCCCAGCAAGGCCACGGGGACACCTTCAAAACACCTCCAAGCCTTTGACCCCTTCCCACGTCAACCCCCCACCCCGGCGTCTCCTCCGGGCTCTTAGTGGCCTCGCGGTGGCTTCAGTCCCTGCAGCCCGAGCCGCAGTTTGTGAAGGAGGCATGCGGAAGGACAGCGGGTGTTTTTCTGTCTCCACAGATGGTGTGCGTGACTGCGTGTGTCCTCCGTGTGTCCTCCGTGTGTCCTCCGCGTGCGTGCATCTGTGTCTTTCCGTGTGTCTGCACCTGAGTGTCTGTGGGCGTGAATTTTGTTGTCTGTACTTTTGCACCTGTTGCACAAGTGTGTGTCCGTACGTGTGTCTGTGTGTCTGTGTGTGCGCTCTCATGTCGGTGCCTGTGCGTGGGCATCTGTGTTCGCGTGCGTCTTGGCTGCGCGATCGGCAGGAGGGTGGTGACATTGCGGTGACATCCCACAGTGGAGGCTGGCGGCCGTGTCTGGGCTGAACCCTGTGGTACTGGGCCTCACTGGGGACGGTGGGATCCTGAGTGAGTGGACAGACGCCCGGCTCCCCTGTCCACACACGGGACACCACTCCCTCGCCTGACCAGTGGATCCCTCGCCTGAAATAAACTAGGAGCGACATGTTGACGTGTGACCTGTCAAAAAGAAGTTAAGTTTGGCTCCAGTTGTTTTAAGAGTCCCTGCGAGGGCGCCGGCTCCGTGGAAACACTGGCAGCGGACACCACAGGCTCATTTCTGTCCCCCCAAGCTATCACCTCACGCCCCGTTCCACACCAGGGCCCACGCCTGTCCCAGCTCTTCCGACAGTTCCACTGTGTCCCGGGCACAGTGTGTTTGGGGTGTGGGTTTTGGGCGGCACTGGGATTCGAACTCAGGGCCTCAGGCTTGCTGGGCGGTCCTCTCGCTTTGGTCATTTTTCAGATAGCTTGCACATTTTTGTCTAGGGCCATCCTCGGATCACAATCCTCCAGCCTGCGCCTCCTGCATAGCTGGGACTACAGGTGTGCTCCATCACACCCAGCTGTTGGTTGTGATGGGGTCTGGGTCACTTTCTCCCCTGCCTGGACTGGAACTGCGATCCTCCCCCTCTCCGCCTCCCAAGTAGCTGGGATTACAGGGGGAGCCACCGTGCCTGGCTGGTTGGTTCTTGTGACGAACATAAGATGGCAGCAGGAAGGTTGATCCAACGAGCTTTGTGTCCACGTTGTATCGGGGCATAAAATCTCAGGCGTGAGACCGAGTGAGGTCTGCACTGCTGGGAACGTTTGCCGAGGACGCTTGGCTTCCACCCCGTCTGCGTTTGTGCGTGCAACCTGGTTGTCACCCTATGTGGAGTTGTCTTTGCTGGCGCGTGGCCTGCGTCTGTCGGTGGCGGTGATGCTGTCCGTCCGTCTTTTTCCTGGGTGTTAGTTCTGCCGTGGAGGCCGACTTTCTTAGACCTTGAGGGTTTTCTAGCGATTGTCGCCGTCCTGCCCGAGGGGCTGCGCTCACGACTGCCCCAGGTAAATTTCTGAAGCGAAATTTCCAGGTCAGCTAAACTCACCCATGTGAATCCGGCACGGAGGTCACAACTGCTTTCACCCCTGTCCTCGTGGGCATTAGCCGGTCCCCCGGCGGGCCCTTCGGGGCTGGGGCTGTCACCCGACCTGCGAGAGGACGGCCACTCGCGGCCCCAGCCCGGTCCTGGCAGGTGGGTTTGAGCCGCCCACGTGTTTTTACCCAAGGGTCCTCATCAGAGCCTCGGGGAACATGGCTGCAAAGGTGGGGCAGGTAGACACAGCCCAGGGACACCAAAGCCACATTGCTGACCCAGGCCTGGCCTCCACTTCCGGCCAGGCTGGACGAGACCGCGGTGCTGACGAGTAACACAGCCCTGTGCACACAGCGTCCCAGGGCCTCAGCGCCGGTCCCGACTTCTCCAGGCAGAAGCGTCCACGGTGACCCAACTGGAGACTCTGTCCCCACCTGCAGTGTGCTCAGAGCTGTCCCCAGGGGCCACCCGGGGGTCACAACGGCCCGACCGTGCCTCGATTTACCCTCAAGGAGGTTGGTGGTCCCCTTTTCTGGGGCTGATGGCAAGTCCACCTCCTGGTGTCCCGGCCACAGAAGCCGAGGGTGTGGATGCGGTGACCATGGAAAACTCCAGGCCCCCAGGCTGTGCCGACGCTGTTCTCCTGGTGCGTCACCTCCTTTGGGGGCTGAGTGGGCTTTGAACTCACAGCCTGGGCCTTCTGGGCCCAGGGAGTCGTAAGAGTTTCGTGGAGGATCGCCTGCCCCTCCCGGCGACAGGCGGCGCCTGCGGTGTCAGGGTGTCCCGCGTGCCCAGTTTGTGCCTTTCCCACGGTCCCCTTAAGTCCCCTTAAGTCACGGGTGCTCAGTGTCCCCAAAAGGCAGGAGACAGTGCAGGAGATGGGCACTGAGTCCTGTGACCATGTCTGTCTGTGTGTCTGTCTGTGTGTTTGTGTATCTGTGTGTGTGTGTCTGTGTGTCTTTGTGTCTGTCTGTGTGTCTGTGTGTCTGTGTCTGTGTGTCTTTGTATCTGTCTGTGTGTATGTGGCGTGGGCAGCTGGGGTGGACCCAGGACCTTTGCACACGCCAGGTGAGCGTTCCGCCCCCAGCCTGTCCCCGGCTCTTTGTGAGCCTTGCAGCTCAGGTTGGGAGGCCGGGACTGCGGGTGATGCTGGCTCAGCCAAGGCTGGGTCCAGAGGGGCAGCGAAGACCTCTGTGGGGTCAGGGGCCGGCCGCTCACTGGAGCATCAATGCCAGGCCATCGGCATTGTGACAGCGTCATCGCCGCTGTGACAGAGGCCTGTCCCGGGCACTGGACTTGGGCCCAACTTCCTCCCATTCAGGGAAGCCAGGCCTCAGTGCCCTGGGTGACACTGGTGGGGCTGTCACTGGGCACACGAATGACCGACCATGAGGCCAGCGGAGCTGTGGTCTGATGGAGCTGTCAGGGCTGCCTGCCGTGTGCCAGCACCATGGTGACCACGTCCTTGTGCCCCAAGGCCCACCTGCTGGACCAAGGGATCCAGGCTGCTTGGGCCATATTTGGACTGGGGTTCAAGGCCATTGAGCTCCACGTTAGCGTCCCTTGGGTTTTGACTTAGGCCTGGCACTGACTTGACTGTCCAAGACTCAGTTTCCCACCTGTGCAGGGGGGCTGGGCTGCTGCAGGACGGTCCACTGAGGTGACCTCATGTCTCCAGCGTGGCCCAAGCTGGGGCCCGACGACGGCTGACATGGGGAGTGCGGAAGGCGGAAGGAAGTGGCCGGCTGTCCTGAGGGGCAAGGGCTCCCCTGGCGTCCATCCGGGCAGTGGGACACCTCTGGGGGGGGAGGGAGCTAGGTGACACATGGTGACTCGTGTGGCATCTCCTAGTGACAGTCCTGTCCCACTGTCCCTGCAGGACCAGCTGAAGCAGTGCTTCTCCCGGCGTGCGCCCGAATCCAAGGACACTGACTCCCTCGTGCAGGACACCGATGGCCACTATGGCACCTGGGCAGAGCAGTGCCCCAGCGGGGACAGGTAGGACACCATGGGCTGCAAGGGGCACAGGTCAGGTCACCATCCTCCCAGCCATGTCCGTGTCACTGTCACAGGGCCTCTTGTGGAAAGGAAATTTAGAAGGTACAAAAGAATCAGAGCGAGAGAGAGAGAGAGAGAGAGAGAGAGAGAGAGAGAGGGAGAGGGAGGCGGGAGGGAGGGAGAGAAATGACATCTGAAGGCCCCAAGGAGGCCAACCCCAGACAGAAGGCAAAAGCTTCCTTTCTGGGGACAAAAATGTCTTCCCAGCGACTTTGTGACGGCCACGGGGCATATGCTCGGCGTCACTGCCACTTGCGTTTTATCGAGATGGTGGCCCTTCTCCACGCAAGGGCGGCCATGCCGACCAGCCGGGGCTCATGGACGCCCACAGCAAGCCCCCGCCCGGGTTGGACGAGGTGTGACGGTTTGGTGCCATTGTCCCTTGCAGGAGGTGAAGCTGAGGCCCCCAGCCCATGGCAGTCGGGTGGGCAGCTGCGTGGCACGCGGGAGCACGCGCTGTGCCTGGTCTCGTCCCTCCAGGGTGGGGGTGGATCATGGCAGTGGCCTTGCGGCCATTTTCAGTGACTCCTTCAGGGGCCTGGGGGTCCAGAGGCCTGCGCTCACCTCGACTCGTTTTCCTCACTGCGGCGTCCATGGCAGCCTGGGAAACGGGCTCAGGAACCCAGGTCCACCTCCCTGCCGCTGTGGGACTGCCATGCTCTCTGTGGCCACATCCAGCTGTGCAGAGGCCCTGGGGACAGAGAGAGGGCAAGAAGAAGAAGGGACGGTGCTGTGAGTGTCACAGTCCAGTGACTGTGGACACCTGGGTCCCAGCTGTGCCTGTCCACTGCTCCAGGCCCCGTCCCCAGCCCTGAGCTCTGCACCTGCCAGGCACGGGGCCTGGGCGCCCCCTGCTGCCCTGTAGAGGCATCGCAGCCTCCGGCTCCCATGGGACAGGGGCCCAGCTTGGACGGGCAGCACTGCCCCCTGCTGGTGCCTTTTGGCCTCGGTCTCCATTAGGCCCGCCCTGCCCGGATGCCAGGTGGAAAAGCTGGCCCGGGTCAGGCCCCCCCCGTCAGGTGAGGCCACTGCCCTCCCCGCTCAGGTCCCCGTGCCCAGATGTGGGGGCAGATGAGCCTGGTGGCCGTGCCTGTAATCCCAGCCACTCAGGAGGCCGAGACTGGGACAGTTTAGGCAGACTTTAGAGAGACCCCATCTCAAGTAACCAGCTGGGCATGGTGGCACACAGCTGTCACCCCAGCCCCTGGGAAGCGCAGGCAGGAGGGTCACAGTCAGAGGCCAGTCCTGGGCTAGGTAAGGACCTGTGACCTGCAGCAAAAGGGGCGGGGGTGCGGCTCCCACGATGGTGCACTAGCAAGCGCGAGGCCCGAGTTCAAACCCCACCATCGCCCTGCCGCGTCGCCCAGGACTGTGGTGAGGGGACAGATCAAGCGGCTGGCGTGGGACACGCCGTCCCATCTGTGGGTCCCTGCTGAGGGACAAAGAAGCGGACGCAGCCACTGTGACCGTCACACATCTGAGCCGCGCCCGCGTCCCCGCCCTCGCCGCACCTGGCCATCACTTCTCTCTCTCCTCCTCCCCCTGCAGCCTGGCCCCCGAGTCCCCGTCCCCCGACAGCGCTGCGTTGCCATGGAAACAGCCCCCAAGCCGCCGCCCGTCCTCTCCGTCCTCTGCCACGGAGGTCACCTCGGGGGACACGCACGGCGGAGCCCTGGACCCGCGGAGCACCGGCCACGACCGCTCCAGCTCCGAGCCGGAGTCCACCGATGGCACCGAGGGGACGTCCCCGCCCGATGCCCACCCCAGGAGAGGGGACGACTTTGCCTTCATCGATGTAAGTCGCAGCCAGTGTGTGACCTTGTGACCTAAGGATTGTGTGACCTGTGTGACCCGTGTGACCCGTGTGACTGTGTGACCTTGTGACCTAAGGATTGTGTGACCTGTGTGACCCGTGTGACCCGTGTGACCTTGTGACCTAAGGATTGTGTGACCTGTGTGACCCGCGTGACCTGTGTGACTGTGTGACCCGTGTGACCCGTGTGACCATGTGACCTAAGGATTGTGTGACCCGTGTGACCCGTGTGACTGTGTGACCTGTGTGACCCGTGTGACTGTGTGACCCGTGTGACTGTGTGACCTTGTGACCTAAGGATTTTGTGACCCGTGTGACTGTGTGACTGTGACCCGTGTGACTGTGTGACCCGTGTGACCGTGTGACCTAAGGATTGTGTGACCTGTGTGTCCCTTGTGACCCATGACTGACCTGTGTGACCCGTGTGACCTGTGTGACCCGTGTGACCTGTGTGACTGTGTGACCCGTGTGACCCGTGTGACTGACCTGTGTGACCCGTGTGACCCGTGTAACCTGTGTGACCTGCTGACCCGTGTGACTGTGACCTGTGTGACCCGTGTGACCATGTGACCTAAGGATTGTGTGACCTGTTTGACCTGTGTGACCCGTGTGACTGACCTGTGTGACCCGTGTGACCTGTGTGACCCATGTGACCCATGTGGCTTGTGTGATCCATGTGACCTGTGTGACCCATGTGACCTGTGTGACCCGTGTGACCTGTGTGACCCATGTGACCTAAGGATTGTGTGACCTGTGTGACCCATGTGACCCATGTGACCTGTGACCTGTATGACCATGTGACCTGTGTGACCCATGTGACTGACCTGTGTGACCCATGTGACCCGTGTGACTGACCTGTGTGACCCGTGTGACTTGTGTGAGCAGTGTGACTGACCTGTGTGACCCATGTGACCTGTGTGACCCATGTGACGTGTGTGACCATGTGACCTAAGGATTGTGTGACCTGTGTGACCGTGTGACCTGTGTGACCCGTGTGACCCGTGTGACCTGTGTGACCGTGTGACTGGGTGACCTGTGACCCGTGTGACCTGTGTGACCGTCTGACCTGTTTGATCTGTGTGACCTGTGACCTGTGTGACCATGTGACCCATCTGACCCGTCTGACCCGTCTGACCTATGTGACCGCATGGCCGTGTGGCAGGCACTGCATCTTAAGGGAGGCCCAGCATCCCCGTCGGTCACCACTCTGAGACGAGGCCACCTGACGCGGCGTGGCGGTCACACACCAGCTGTGTCCAGGGGAAATGTCCGGGTTTCTGGGCCTCGGCTTCCTGTTCTGCTGCCCACACACACCCCGGTGCCACACCCGAGCCAGGCCTGCAGGGCAAAGGGCCGGGGTCTGTCCAGTAGGACGGCGCTGACCTCAGTGGGACGAGTGGGACAGGGCCCTGTCGCCCTGCAGCTGCTCCGGGAACGTCCCTCAGATGCGGCCATGGCAGCCACCTGCCCGAGCCAGGCCTTCCAGACAGAGCCTGGCGTTGTCCCCACGTCCTGCCCGTGGCACATTCCACCCACAGGGCAGCAGGGCCTTCCACCCGGGCCCCGAGGGACCCACCTCCCTGCAGGTAGTCAGCGTCTCCCACTGGACCTCGGTGTAAAGGGCGGCCATCAGACAAGCACTGACCGACTGGGCACGTGGCCTGAGGGCAGAGCGCTTGCTGGACAAGCTCAGGGTCCCGGGTTCAATCCCTGGTGCTACCAAAGAAAAAGAAAAAATATGAAGACGACATAGCTACGCTCACCTATGTGCTGTAGGGTTCAGTTTAGTAGTGTGCTCAGTTATTCACTCAACAACCCTGCACTGAGATCTCACTATTACCAAGCATTGCTCTGGTGTACATTGCTGGACTGTCCTCTAGACCACTGAGCGGCCCCTTCCCAGTGTCCACCATGGGCAAAAGCCACGGGTCACTGACGGCCGGCACTGGCTCGTGCACAGCCGGAAACCCGAGAGGCAAAGCTCCCTGTGCAGTCTAGGAAATTGACACGGCCACCGAGCAACTCTAGCGCCAGCGTCCGTGGCTTGGGGACAACTGCTCGCTAACAAGCTCGAGGTTTACGTCAGGTCCTGCTCTGTCTGGGGACCTCCCCTGGGGACAGTTAGGAGGCTGAAGCGGGGAACTCAGTCCCCACATCGAGCCGAGGCGGTCAGGGTGGCCCCATGGACAGGAACCATCTGCTTTCCAGGGCATATGTGACAGTGAATGCCCTGTGCTGACCTAGTGGCCCTGTCCGCTCCTTCTGACCCCTGGAGGGACCACAGTGACCTCAGCTTAGGGACTGTGCACATATGGTTGTCATAAGGACTTGGTTAGATGACGTGCTCGGTGATTCACTCAACAAACACATCAATTGAGCGTGGAGCCGCTTGCCTGCCGCCACGGGAGGGAAGAGGCGTTTTCACTGTGTCGGTCGGCCCCCGTGCTCACCCGCGTGGTTATTTGGTGAAATCAGTGTGAAGTGTGGTCCCGATGGACAGCCCCTCGAGGCTCAGCAAAGCTGCTCACACCCTGCCCTCGACTGGCCGTCCCTTTGATTTTCTTCCTCTTCCTCCTCACGCCCCACAGCAAACCTCGGTCCTCGACTCCAGTGCCCTGAAGACCCGGGTGCAGCTCCGGAAGCGCAGCCACCGCCGGGCGCCCATTTCCCACGCCCTCCGGCGCAGCCGGGGTCCTCTGGAGGAGGAGGTGGACAGCGCCTGGATGTTCAAGGACTCCACAGGTACGGCCCGCGTCTGGCCCACGTCCGCCCCGCCCGGCAGCAGCAGGAGGGACGGAGGCCAGCATGGCGTCTGTACTTCTGCCTCACGGCTGGGGTTTGAACTCAGGGCCCCGGCCTTTGCGACCTCCGGGTTTGGTCCTGGTTCAGCCTGGACCTCGACCCGCCCCGTCTCTGCCTCCCGCGCGGCTGGGATTACAGGCGTGGGCCACGGCGCCCGCTGCTTCCCTCCCATCAACTCACAGGAGTCGTTAGTGTCTGGGCGACGTCCACACGTTGTCCTCCACGGGCCGCGTGGGCTGCGTCTCACGTTGAATCTGAGCTGCTCGGGATCCTCCAGGAGAGGGGGTGCCAGGCGGAAGGTGTCACAGGTCTCGGGGACGGATGTGGACAGGGCGTCCCGGCAGTCAGAGCCACTCCAGCTGAGCGTCTGGAAGACGGACGGGCCGGCCCGAGGCCCCCGTACCCGTTTCTGTCACTAAAGGACTTGTTCTGTGTTTTGGGGACGGAGACATGTCCCCACCACTCCCAGCTTTCTGAGCCAAGCCGTACCGCGACCATAGCTGGACTCCAGTGTCCCCCAGGGGGCCCTGGCCAGGTGGCACAGGCTTCTGCCAGCCGCGAGGCGCCGGCCAGGGGCTGAGGGTCGGGGTCGCCCTCTTCAGACATGTCACCCGGCCCTGCTTACCACGGCCCCGATGGCCGTCCACTCCTGGGCGTCTGAGGACAGGCAGGCCACAGGCCACTGGCTTGAGCAGCGCCTCAGTGACACGCACAAAGCTCGTCACACCGTCCTCAGAGCCTCGTCAGCTAAACGTCTCTGTCCCCTGTCCCTCTGCCCAGATGTCCAGCTGTGGCTCGCAGCCCAGGGTGGGGCTGTGTCCTTCCCCAGGACAGAACCCGTTCTGTCTTCAGTACCTGCTGGCGAGAGGCTCAGCCTGAGGGAAAGAGAGACAGAGAGAGAGAGAGAGAGAGAGAGAGAGAGAGAGAGACACAGAGAAAGAGAGGCGATGTCCCTGGGGCTGCCCCCACCTGTGGCGGTCAGGAGCGTCCTCTGCACAGGCATGGTGCGGTGCAGGCAGGGCTGTGTGTGCCCTTGGGGCCTCCGTCCGTCCGTCCGTCTGTGGCACAGCAGCCATGCACCCTTCGCTTTGCCACAGAAGAGAAGCTGTCCAGAAGGGAAGAGTCGGACGAGGAGGAGAAGCCGTCCAGGGCCGAGAAGACGCCGGCCAGCCATCCTCAGAGGGTGCCGGTGTTTCCAGGCATGGACCCGGCAGTGCTGAAGGTACCGCAGCTGCCCGCGGTGTGCGTCCGCTCGTCTGCCCACCGTCTGGCCGCGTCCCCCCCGCCGTGTCCATCTGTTCCTTCCTTCCTCTGGTTGAACAGTGTCTCAAAGCCAGGACCTGGGCCCCAGCACACCTGCTCTGTTTGGCCGCATAGCTGGGCTTCAGTTTACCCATCTGTAAAGTGGGCCCATAACCTGGCTTAGGCACCAGGCCCCAGCTGAGAGCCGGGGACACGGGAGGGACACAGGAGCCAGGGCCTCGGGGGACCCCGGCTCGGGGAAGATGGGCGTCTCAGTGCCGAACGTCAGGTTCCCTGGCTGGGTCTGCTCAGCCCTCGGCGTCCTTGTCACCCCCCGGTGGGGCCGGTTGTCCCATGGGGTCCTTCCCCGGGCAGAAGGACATCACCATCTCGGCTGTCTTCTCTCCCCAGGCTCAACTGCACAAGAGGCCAGAAGTGGACAGCCCTGGAGAGACCCCCAGCTGGACCCCCCAGTCCAAGTCTCCCAAGTCCCCCTTCCAGCCGGGGGTGCTGGGCAGTCGGGCGCTGCCGTCCGGCTTGGAGAAGGACGAGAGGTGAGGGGCTTGGGGGCCGCGATGTCCAGGGCTGTGGAGCGCCCATGGCGGAGGTGGCGGAGATGACAGAGTCCAGCTGCTGCGTGCCAAGACCACTTGGTACTCAGGGCTGAGCAGCCACCGAGCAGGGAAGGAGGCCGGAGTGGGCCCTGCCTCTGTCCTGCCCTGACCGGTGCAGGCCTCTGTGACCAAGGAGAAACCGAGGCATTTCCCCCCCCCCCCGTCTTGTGTGGGGACAGTCGGGAGCCTGGGAAGGGTCCAGGCCCTGGCAGCCATGGTGGAGACAAGCAGAGCCTCACGGGTCCCACAGACATGGCGGGCGCCGGCTCTGAAGCCGCAGTGACCGGGAAAAGTCACCCGGCCGTCCTGAGGATGACGGCCAGTGCTTCCAGAGCCCCACGCAGGGCGGTCGTGTGCAAGGTGTCCACAGAGGGTGAGGGTTAGGGTGGCGTGGCAGGCACTGAGGTCACAAATCGGCCACAGTCCGCGCTGTGCGTTCAGAAGTGCGCAGAGCAGAACCCGAAACTGCAGCCCACAGGCAGGGTCAGGCCCGCTGTTTGCGTTTGTCAATAAAACTTTATTGACACCCGGCCCCGCCTGTTCACGCAGTGCTGCCTATGGCTGCTTTCGCGTAGGACTGCAGACTCCCCACAGTCCCCGCCCACCGTCAGGCACTGTGACCGCCGTGACGAGAGGGCAGGAGGAAGGGCCTCCACGGCACGATGGCCTTTCTCAAGTCCTGATGGACTAGCGGGTGTCAGGTTGGCCAAGGGTCAGCAGAGGGGACCCCGGGCTGGAGCCGCGGCACACAGAGGCCGGCAGGCCGGGTGTCAGGGTCCAGTGCCCCGTGGGCCTCAGGAGGCAGAAGGACAAGGCAGGAGAGAGCCAGGCCCCGGCCGAGGGGTGGCCCTGCCCTGTGGTATCTGAGTCTCAGGCCCGTGGCCTTGGTCAGCTGAGGGCTCGAGTGTGTTCACGGTGGAGGAGCCACAGGCGGCCTCCGAGGTGCTGCAGTACCGTCATGACCGTGTGGGGGACCCCAGCCCCGAGCTGCCCCCAAGCCATCCCTGTCCCCTCTCCCTTGGAGAGCCTGAGCCTGGCTCAGCCTGACCGGTGTGGTTTCAGGTCGGACGACCCGCTGTCCCCCCAGTGGCTGAGGGAGCTGAAGTCCAGGAAGAGACAGAGCCTGTATGAGAACCAAGCTTGACCAGGTGGGACGGGCTCGGGGAGGACACCGGGGACCGACGGCCGCTGGGTCATCGTGGGTGGGGACATGGGGTGCCGTGCTGAGGACAGCCACGGTGTCCGACTCCTGCAGATCCCTTAGCAGGAGACCCTGGGCAGCCAGGGGCGGGTGGGACGGGCTCAGGGTGGAGCGTCCCACCTGCCTCAGGACCTCCAGGTGACCTCCAGGTGACCGGTGACAAGGAAAAACCCCACACGCGCTCAGTGGGGACACCCACAGGGCAGGATGGCTAGTTTGCGGCTGTGACCCTCAGTGACCTCGTCTGCACAGCGGGTCTGCAGTGCCAGGTCCCCGAGGTGCCATCCGTCCCTAAGGCCACAGGCAGAGACACTCCATAAGTGCCCGGTGTGACCCCGGGGACAGTGCTGTTCTGACCCTGTCTGCTGGTGTCACCAGCCCACCGGGCCCTGCGGCCATCCTGGGGTGCCCAGAGCTCATGGGGCCTGGCGGCCACACGCACTGATGGACGCGTTTCTGATGCATTTGCGCAAGGCTCAGGCCCGTGCGGGTTCCGCGTTTCCGTCACACAGTCGCTCGCAGTCCTTTTTGTGCCGTTTTTTCTTTTTTTCCCCTATTTTTTCTTTTTGGTGGTGTTGGATTTGAACTCAGAGCCTCGCGCTCCTCCAACCTCTCTCCTTCAGTTTGATTCTTGTAGGATTTCGGGCTTTTCCCCGCTGTGGCCTCGGCCTTTGCCTGCTGAGCAGCTGGGATTGCAGGCGTGCACCAGCCACGCCTGCCCCGAATCCATTTTTCGGAGTTGGATTTGGTTTCGATCGACACACGACGTGTTGTGCGTGTTTCTGGGCTGCAGTGACACTGCAGCGTCTGGGCGCCCGCGCACCCTGTCATGGTCACCAAATGGTCACGTCGGGAACGAGCAAGTCCAGCACCTCAGTCCAAGTTCTCTGCCCCGCTGTTCCGAGACCCACGAAGCAGCAGAGTGGCCGCCCGGCCCCTGAGGCCCCAGGGTGGGGACGGGTCACGTCGCCCCTTCCCCAGACCGCAAATCCCCTTCCGGGCCGGGCGTGGGAGGCTCTCAGGAGCGTCAGGAAAGGTTGACAGTGACCTTTTTCTTTTTTGGTTTTTGGGGTGCTGTGGGTGGAGCACACTGGGCCTTCGAGCCACACCCCAGCCCCCAGAAAACGCTGGAGAGAAACGGTGAGGCGTCCACTGCTGACATGGGACTGTCCTTTCCTCTCCCGGCAGGGGACACCGCCGCCTCCATCAGCAGAAGCCTTAACTGTGACCTCCGACCCCTCAGCGGAGGCCGCTGCCTTCCTGCCCGCCCTGCGTCCTCCCCGCGGGCCACGGACCACCGTCCTGACCCCCAGCCGGACCCACGGAGGCCACTGTCCACCAGCTGCCGACAGCACTTCCGGCCGGAGGGAGGAGGCCAGGCTGCCCACAAGCAACCGGGACGGTGGATTTGCCTTCCGGTAAAGGCTCTGCCGGGCGAGGCAGTGCACGCCTGTAATCCCAGCACCCAGGAGGCGGAGGCTGGACGATCACAAGTTCAGGGCCAGCCTGGGCTACGTGGTCAGACCCTGTCTCAAAACTGCCCAGGCACTGGCCACCTCCCTCAGCTCTGGCAGCAGCCAGGCAGGGCTGGACGGTCCCCTGGGCTCTGGAAGCTTCCGTGTCAGACTCAGCTGTGGAAGGACGGTTCCAGGAACCTCGCTCCCCTCGCTTCCCGCGGGGCTCTCGGCCGGCAGTGCCACCGGGTGGGGGTCTCGTTGCCTTTTTTTTCCTTTGAAAAATTCCTTCTCCCCCACCAGGAGTCAGCATTTTACATTCTGAAGCACAGCGGCCCAGTGCTCCCAGAAACACTTCGCCTTCCTCCAGGGGGCCGTGTGCAGCCCCCCTGGGGCCGTGTGCAGCCCCGCGGGGCCGTGTGCAGCTCTGCGGGGCCGTGTGCAGCCCCGCGGGGCCGTGTGCACAGCTGGCCTGGTCAGGGCCCAGCCGTGTGCTTGCGTTAGGCCACTGAGCAATAGCTCAGCATCTTTCTTTGAGAGTCGATGTGGATTTTTCGGTGAAGGCTGGGAGGAGTCGTGCGACCCACGCTTGCAGCTCCCGCTCACCTCAAGCCTTTTTTAAAATTTGGAACTGTCACCTGTGTCCGTGTTTCCGGTTCTTTCCAAGCTCGGGGTGGGGTGGCCTCTGACCCTTGGCCTTAAGGCTGGAGGTGTGATGCTGTCGGTATCAGACCTGCTGGGGGGGAGGGAGAGAGAGAGAGAACGAGAGAGAGAGAGAGAGAGAGAGAGAGAGAGAGAGAGAGAGAGAGAGAAAGAGCGCGAGTCTCCACGGTGGCCCCCTGGCTTCACTCGGGTTCGCACACTGACACTGGGGTGTCCTGGGGACAAGGACTCAGTCTCCATCCGGGGCCCCCTCGGTCCCTGGGGCTCCTGACACTTTCCACCCCTTTCCGTCCTCCCCCAGCCAGGGGGCCGCGGTGTCCACGCGGGACAGGCCTGGACGCGGAGGTCGCCCAGCTGCACTCGTCCTGGGCTTCCTGACAGGTGACAGCTTTCCGTGTCTGAAATAGGGTCGCAGGTCACCGCCGTGCCCCCGGCCTCGTCCCCACAAGCCCCCCCCCCGTCCGCCTCCTTTCTCTGGGGGGCGCGGTGGCATTTGGTGGCCTTTGGTGACCCGTCCCCTGCCGGCCTTTTGTGCCTGTGTTGGGGTTGGCCCAGTGCCAGGTGTTTTCGTGGCTCTCTGAGCTCACGGTGGTCAGGACGTCTCTGAAGCCATGTGGCCGGGGACCCTGCAGGGTGGCCTGCCGCGGTTTCTGCACTTGTGATACAGCGGCTTCCCGAGTGGGTGACGCCCCGCGGGCGGTGACCTCTCCCCGGCCTCCATGTCTCTCCCCCGGCCGGTGCTCGGGCATCGGGCTGGTCGCCCCCTGCTCTCGGGGGCCCATGTTTCCCTGGCCCCCTGGCGGCCCGTGTCCCGTACAGCCTTAGTCACCTGCGTGCGATCACATCACCCCACACACGCACCCCGTCCAGGCTCCTGGACCGTGGCTGTCCTCAGAGGACGGCCTCACCCGGGACACACAGGTCCCTTCGCGGCTCCATCTTGCCCTGCCGTCAGCCTCTCTTCATAAACTCTGTCCCCCTTCCTCACGGTCCCCTGCCCGCTGACACGGGGGCCCGGCCTGCGAAACCCGTGGTGAGCCGTCCGCAGGCGGGGTGGCGGGACTCGGTGCTGGCCGTGGTGCTGGTGGACCAGCACCTCGTGGCCAGGCCGCTCGGACTGCGCAGGACTCGGGGAAAGGACACTCCGCCTCCAGAACAGTGTGTGTCCCTGTCTGCATCCTGGACGTGGGACACAGGGCCGAGGAGCGAGGAACCTCAGCTGCCCACGCCTGGCTCTGACCAGCTGCTCCCCGAGAGCCTTCACCTGATGTCCCTTGCTGTCCCCTCCAACTGGGCTCGACTGAAAACCCGACGGCCAGCCTGTCCCCGCCTCAGGTCTTGGAGCTGCCGGTCACTTTGCGATGGGGACGTCGGCAGGGCCGCGAGGGAGTCGCAAGCAGGAGTCCCGTGGCAGGGTGGCTTGGTGGCGTAGGAGGGACCACGTGGGGGTGTGGAAGCCAGGACGCAGGCAGGACATCAGGACATCGGTCACTCCCTCCCCTGAGCAAACGTGACCGCCAGGAGTTGCCCCGCTGGGACTCCAGGCCGGCCAAGGCTCTGGGAGCCTAAAGCCACCGATCCATGTCCCCTCCACCGTCCCACCCTCTAGAACTTTCCTCCTGCCGTCCCCGTGGCTCGTGCAGGTGGGGGTCTGCTCTGCAAGGTCACCTGTGGTGTCCGGCACGGGAACCTTTGAAGGGAGCGCCTCAGCCTGTGACCTCTGCCCTCCCAGCCTCTCCCCGGCCAGCGCCCTCAGCCATGCGGTGACCTCGTGACTCCTCTGCTTCTTTCACAATCCCTGCTGGCACCACGCCAGCCACACCTGCCTGCAGCCCCACTCCTGCCACTCCTGCTGCACCTGCTGCACCTGACACACCCGACGCACCCGACGCACCCGACGCACCTGACGCACCTGACGCACCTGTCGCACCTGACGCACCTGATGCACCCGACGCACCTGACACACCCGACGCACCCGACGCACCCGACGCACCTGACGCACCTGACGCACCGGACACACCCGACGCACCCGACGCACCCGCCGCACCTGACGCACCCGACGCACCTGACGCACCTGACGCACCTGCCGCACCTGCCGCACCTGACGCACCCGACGCACCTGCCGCACCCGACGCACCCGACGCACCCGACGCACCCGACGCACCCGACGCACCCGCCGCACCTGACGCACCCGACGCACCTGACGCACCTGCCGCACCTGCCGCACCTGACGCACCCGACGCACCTGCCGCACCTGCCTGTGTTGTTCCCGCTGTTGCCTTTTGACCCCTGGACTCGGGAACGGAAGGTGTGGGTGACACAGACGCTTTATCCCACCCCAGAGACAGAATTCACCAAAGAAAAACTGTTTTTAATGTGAAAAACCCCAAATGTCCACACGGGGCTTCCCGGACCTACAGAGCTGTGTTTGTCGCTGTGAACCGTCTCGTACACAGCGTCAGCGTCGGCTCGGCTGCCGGCAAAGGTGTCACCTGGGCTCTGCCGGTGCAAACAAAGCCCGGTGCGAGCTGCATCGCAAAGCCGCGCGTCCTGCGTGGACGGTGGAGTCCCCTGGACGGGACGGCATGGGACGGGCCGCGGGAGGGGCCCTGTCCTGCCACCTCCCGGCTGTGGCCGTCTCCGAGTTGGTCCCCTCAGCTCTGAGACAGGTGGTGACAGCGGCGTCAGTGATGCCAGCGGTGGGTCGTGTCCTCGGGGGCCACGGGTGTGGTGGGAGGAGCTCACGGTTGTCCCAGGACGGAGGCCATGCCACGGCCCTCGGTGACAGGAGCTCGGTGGCCAGCTGTGCACAGGTCACCGTCCTGTCCCCGAGCTCGGCCCCAGGAGAACGACATAGCTCCCACGGCAGTGGGGTTCGGCCGTGGCGCTGTGACGCGCGCAGGTACGGCGTCCACCGCAGGTTCTGAGACACCGAACGTCCCCCCCGCCTTCTCCAGAGGTGCCAATGGCGTCCCAACTTATGGGGTGGGGGGTGACACCACCTGCAGCCGGAGGTGACCTCAGTGGTCAGTGGGGGATAAGGTGACAGGCGCCGGGACAAGGACTTTGCTCTTGTGCGGTTGTCCCTGTCAATGCCGAGCACGGCCTCGTCCCTCACGCACACCAGCCTCCTCCTCTGAGCCTCGTCCCCAGCCTCCATGCCCCAGCCTCCATGCCCCAGCCTCCCGTCCCCAGCCTCCACATCCCAGCCTCCACACCCCCAGCCTCACGTCCCCAGCCTCCATACCCCAGCCTCACGTCCCCAGCCTCCATGCCCCAGCCTCACGTCCCCAGCCTCCCTGTCCCCAGCCTCACGTCCCCAGCCTCCATACTCCAGCCTCACGTCCCCAGCCTCCCTGTCCCCAGCCTCACGTCCCCAGCCTCACGTCCCCAGCCTCCCCATCCCCAGCCTCACGTCCCCAGCCTCCCCGTCCCCAGCCTCCCTGTGGCTCCAGACAGAGAGGGTCTCCATGGTTGGGTTTGCACAGGAAACGCTCCCCCCACCCCAGGTTCGTGTTCTCACCACTTGGTCCCCAGGAGGCGGCACGATTTTGGGGAGAGTCCAGTAACTTCCTGGGGGAGAGGGGCAGCTGGAGAACAAAGGTCACTAGGGCGAGTCTGTGTCCTGCCCCTTCCTCTCTCTTTCTCTTTCTCTCTCTCTCTCTCTCTCTCTCTCCTCGCTCTCGCTCTCTAGCTTTCTCTGCTTCCTGTCCACCGTGAAGGGGAAAAGCCCACAGCCACCCGCTCCTGCCGCCATGCTGTGTGCAAGTGACCACGGACAGAGCCCTTGGAACCGTGGGCCAGAGTGGACCGTCCTTTTAAGTGCGGTCCCCAGCGCTTTTGTCTGTGGGAGAGGGGACAGGGACGGGGAACTCCGTGACACACCCGGTCACTGGGCCAGCACAGCTGCTGACCTGGGGACTTTACCCCAAAGCAAATACGAGCGGCGTAGGAAACCTGGAGGTTTGACAGTGCAGAGCTTGGCACCCTCACCATTTTTTATTCACTCAACAACTCAACGCCATCGTGTGTACAAAACGCCCAGGTCTACATTGCTTTTGTTTGCTTTTGCTTTTTGCCGTGCCGCGGCTTGAACTCGGGGCCTAAACCTTGGGACACTCCCCAGCCCTTTTTTTTGTGGTGATGGGTGTTTTCAAGATGGGGTCTCTCAAAGGCCGGCTTTGAACCGTGCTCCTCCTGATCTCTGCCTCCCGAGTCGCTGGGATTACAGGCGTGAGCACTGACACCGACCACATTGCTCTGCTTGTAAGAAATTTGGCTCTCGTGGCCACTTTTCCCTCTGTCACGGCTAAGAGGCCAGCCATGGTGGGCCGGGGTCCCCGTCTCTGCTGTGTGACACCGTGACTGTGAACTCAGTTTCCCCATCGGTAACATGGAGGTCACAGTCCCCCCGGGAAGACGGCGCGTCGGGCTCACACCTCAACACCGGCCGTGGCCTCGGTAGGTGAGTGGGAGGACAAGAGGCCTCTGAGGACCCTCAGGTCAGGAACAGGGCCTTTCCCATGGGCACCGGAGGACAATGGCAGCACCCACGTCCCCTGCCCAGCGCAGCCGGCTTCCCACAAAGCCAGTGAGGCCCATCTCCCCCAGAGGTCGTCGGAGGCCGGGCCTCCCCGGGGCGCCATTGGGGTGAAACAGCCCGGGCGGAATCGGGCGGACAGGCCGCTGGCTCAGCGGGGCGCAATGTGCTGGCTTGTCACAACGCCGCCATAAATAACGCAGCCCTGGAGGTGACCGTGACCCGTGACGCACGGCCGCCTGCCCACGCTCCCGCCACAGGTGCGTTCGCGGCCAGAGCCTCCCGCGAGGCCACGGGTGACAAGTGACGCTGCCTCTGTGCCACTGTGAGAGAGAGAGAGAGGGAGAGAGAGGGGGAGAGAGAGAGAGGGAGAGAGAGGGAGAGAGAGAGAGAGGGAGAGAAAGGGAGAGGGAGAGAGAGAGACAGGAGAACCCTTCCACGTGACATCTGCAGGGGCCGGGGTCACGTGTCACCGTCCCCACAGTGATGAAGGGACACCGTCCGTCTGGCTGTGGGTCTCCTGAGACAGTTTGTACACAGTAGGTGTCCAATAAGCGTTTGTGGAAAGAGAACCCGGCTGCAAGGCCTGGGGCAGGTGTGCCAGGACAGCGTCTCCCTCGCGTCTGCTCTCTCCATGTGTCTGTCTGTCTGTCTGTCCTTCCCACTGGCTGTGGTGCTTGCAGAGTCACTGGTGACCCTGGTGACCAGGGCACTAGGCTGCCTGCCTGCAGCGGGAAGTGGGGGACCCAGCTGGAGGGACCCTGGTGACCCCTGCACCTGGCCGGCCTGGAGGTGGTGTCTGCAGGGAGCGCCCAGTGCTCTGTTCTGGGGGAGCAGCGGGGTGTGGTGAGCCAGGTCCAGCTTGGTTCCCTTCCTCACTGTGCCTCGGGAAGTGGCCTAGCTTTGCTGGGCCTTAGGGTTCCCTTTGTAAATTGGGGCGCCTGGCTGCCCCAGCACACATGCCTGCAGTGGGTGCTCAGTGTGTGTTTGTTGAATGACTGAGTGAGCAACAGGCAGCAGAAGTCTTTGCTCCTCCTCCCTTCTAACCACGACCTGGGGCTGCCAGGAGCCTGGCGTCCCGTTCTCTTTGGCTTCAAGGCAGAGTCGTTCCTGGAAGCATGGCGGAGCAGCAGCACGGCATGCAGGAGCAGGCCGCGGCTGGCAAGAGCCATGGAGGCCTTGGGGGTGGCTACAAGGTACGAGGCAGGGTGCGGACCGGCTCCACACTGAGGGTTGCGCCCTTAGAGCCGGGAAGCCGCCCTTCTGGCCAGTGGGGTCCCCAGCCCTCTGCCACAAACGTGCTTTGTGCTTGGCTGGGTCTGCTGTGTCCTCGTCTGGAAGATGGACCAGGTCACCCACGCCCTAAAGGGAGCAGAGAGCTGAGCTTTCAGGACACGTGGCTTCTGGGCTGTGTGACTCTGGTCCAGTTTCTTGCCCTCTCTGGGCCTTGGGAGGCCATGTTTGAACTGGAAACCATCCTCAGCCCGAGTTGGTGTGAGCCAGGAACCAGGGGTGCTGGCTCTGTCCTCGCCAAGGTGTCCCCTGGATTTGTGGGGCGGTCTGAGGGGGGTCTGCTGGTGAGGGGGGCAATTCTAGCAGGCCCTGTGGCTTTCACAGGGGTGGAGACGGCAGGAGAGGGAGGCAGCTCTGAGCCTGACCCTCGGTGACCTTGGGCACTGAGCCTTCAGCCCCTCCTGGGGACAGACGGTGCAGGGCTGCTGTAGTGACCGCTAAGGGCCTGGACAAACTCCAGGAGGCCGCTGCCCACAGGGAAGATGGAGTCACTGTCGTCCCTTTCTCTGCTCTGTCACCTGGGCCTTTCCCTGGCCTGGCCAGAGTGTGCAGAACCCAGTGTCCACCTCGCTGGGCGGCCTCACTTCTGGGGGCTCCCCGGGACCTTCCGCAAAGGTGGGGTGGCCTCAGCCCCTTCCTTGCATGCAGAGGTCAACCCAGAGGTCGCAGCAGGTGTTTCGGGGGATCCCACGTTGAGGAAAATACAGACCCTGGCCTGTCCTGCAGTTTGGCGACAGGTCACCTGTGGCCAGCGGTGGCTTCTGCTTGTTGGGTGCTGGGCCTGGCACCTCAGTTGCAGCTGTGACCCTGTCGGTGCCGGCTACCCGCCATGGCCACCAGGGAGGCCCAGTGCTGGCCTGTGGGGACCCGGGGGACACGGGGAGCCAGAGGAGGGCGGGTGGGCGCCCCACGGCCCAGCGCTGACCCCGCCGCCCCTCCAGGTGACCGTGTTCGAGCAGGAGAACTTCCAGGGCAGGCGCTGCGAGCTCTCGGCCGAGTGTCCCAACCTGACTGACACCCTGCTGGACAAGGTGGGCTCCGTCCAGGTGGAGTCCGGCCCGTGAGTTCCAGAGCCCCCGGGCAGTCAGGAGGGCTGCGTCCAGCTCTAGGTCTGCCGTGGGGCGTGGGGGCCTCCCTGGTGCAGGGAGGTGACCTGGTGCAGGGAGGTGACCTGGTGCAGGGAGATGACCTGGTGCAGGGAGGGGACCTTGTGCAGGGAGGTGACCTGGTGCATGGAGGTGACCTGGTGCAGGGAGGTGACCTGGTGCACGGAGGTGACTGGTGCAGGAGGGGACCTTGTGCGGGAGGTGACCTGGTGCATGGAGGTGACCTTGTGCAGGGAGGTGACCTGGTGCAGGGAGATGACCTGGTGCAGGGAGGGGACCTGGTGCATGGAGGTGACCTGGTGCAGGGAGGTGACCTGGTGCAGGGAGATGACCTGGTGCATGGAGGGGACCTGGTGCAGGGAGGGGACCTGGTGCAGGGAGGTGACCTGGTGCACGGAGGTGACCTGGTGCAGGGAGGGGACCTTGTGCAGGGAGGTGACCTGGTGCATGGAGGTGACCTGGTGCAGGGAGGTGACCTGGTGCACGGAGGTGACCTGGTGCAGGGAGGGGACCTTGTGCAGGGAGGTGACCTGGTGCATGGAGGTGACCTTGTGCAGGGAGGTGACCTGGTGCATGGAGGGGACCTGGTGCAGGGAGGGGACCTGGTGCAGGGAGGTGACCTGGTGCATGGAGGGGACCTGGTGCAGGGAGGTGACCTGGTGCATGGAGGGGACCTGGTGCAGGGAGGGGACCTGGTGCAGGGAGGGGACCTGGTGCAGGGAGGTGACCTGGTGCATGGAGGGGACCTGGTGCAGGGAGGTGACCTTGTGCAGGGAGGTGACCTGGTGCATGGAGGGGACCTTGTGCATGGAGGGGACCTGGTGCAGGGAGGGGACCTTGTGCAGGGAGGTGACCTGGTGCATGGAGGGGACCTGGTGCAGGGAGGTGACCCCGTTTTTCCCACAGGTGGCTGGCTTTTGAGCGCAGGGCCTTCCGCGGGGAGCAGTTCGTCCTGGAGATGGGGGACTACCCTCGCTGGGACGCCTGGTCCAGCAGCCGCCGCAGTGACAGCCTCCTGTCCCTCCGGCCACTGTCCGTGGTGAGTCCGGCCGCTGCCCACCTGGGGGCTCCCGGGGTCGGGGGGCCAAGCTCACCCGAGTGTGGCCGGTCGGCCTGGGGGTCCCTGCGCTCGGTGACGTGTGGGACGAGAAGCGGGTCCTGAACGGGTGGGGACACGAGGTCTCATCACTGTGAGATCCTGGTAGCATTAGAGGTCACCTGGCCAGCACTGGGTCAGAGAGACACATGCAGTGGACGTCATGAAGCCACGTCCGAGCTCTGCCTGTGGACTCCCTGAAAGGGACCCAGTGCACAGGGCCAGGAAAGTGTCCCCTGCCCGTTCCACCGAGTCCCCCGGCGCAGGGAGAGGACACGCCAGCACTCTGGGCCTCAGTTTCCCTTTCTGAGATTGGCGAGGTCCCCTCGCTCTGTCACCGTGGCTCTCGGGCTCCCTGTGCCCCTCCCTCCCCGGTGGCTTTTGGGGAGAGCCGTCCACGCTTCCCCACGTTGGGGTCACCTCGAGCCCCGGTCCGGGTGTGGGGACAGACGCTCACCCCGATCTCGCCCCCAGGACGGCCCTGACCACAAGCTGCACCTGTTTGAGAACCCAGCCTTCAGCGGCCGTAAGATGGAGATAGTGGACGACGATGTGCCCAGCCTGTGGGCCCACGGCTTCCAGGACCGGGTGGCCAGTGTCCGCGCCATCAACGGGACGTAAGAGACCTTGCTCTCGCCTCCGGCTGCCCAGCCGCCGTCTAACGCAAATCTCTGCTCACGGCTTCTCACATGAGTGCCCGGTCCTGCTCCTCCAGGGCCGGAAAGCCGGTGCCCACCCTCGCTAAAAACCCCACTCGAGCCAGCGTGGGAGCACACACCTGTAATCCCAGCCTTGGGAAGTCAAGGCAGGAGTTCAAAGCCAGCCTGGGCTGCAGAGCGAACCCGTCTCTGAAAGCCAGGGCGGAAGGCTCGTCTCTCATGCACCAATGTCCTGGGTTCGATCCCTTGCACCTCCAAAAAGGCAAAAGCCCATGAGGCAGCCTCTCTGATGGATTTCTAGGCAGAAAGAAGGAAGTTTCATCTTTATTTTCTTTTAACATCAAGTCAAATTTGCCCCTCCTTGCACCCATCTCCACCTAAGTCTTACTCCTTTTCTGAACTTGCCCAGACCCTGGGCTGATTCTCAGAATGATTTTCCTCACCATCCTCGTCCTTCTTACACGGAGCCTGGTGGCTGAGCTGAGTAGCACATGGAGAACAGGCTTATCACCTCCCTCCTTCTGGCCTTGATACCACTATTAATGCAACCTTAGGGTCACCTTCCCCTTGGTGGCAGTTAGGTCTCACCTGTGGGCCTGCACTCTGGGGTGGAGAGGTTCTGCCTCTCCCTGGATTTCTATGTGCCAAGTATGGGGACCTGGTGACAGTAAGAACCTGCTTGCCCTCAGGAATGTCACCATCTCATAGCGAGAAAGGCAAGGAAACATGTTCACAGTCCACTGAGAGCAGCACTGTGATGGCCACATGCAGGGGGCTCTGGGGGACCCGGAGAGGGTCAGGAATGGCCACCTGGAGGAAGAGAGAACTCAGCTGAGTTTTAGGGAAGGCAAACGGGGAGCCAGGTGAGGTGGGAAGTGTCCAGCCAGAGGAACGGCACACGCCAAGGAAAGCGGGCGACAGGACGGGGGGCCGCGTGTGACGGAGCGATAGTGACAACCGAGGGTCGAGGGTCTCGTGAGCAGGGTAAAGATTTAGGGTCATCCCAGGGGTCCTGGGGAGCCACGGAGGAGCGAAGGCAGGTGGTAGCTTTGCGGGGCTCGGTCTGGCGTGGAGTGGGGAGCGCGTGGGACCTGCCTCACCCCTCCGTGTCACCCCGGCAGGTGGGTTGGTTACGAGTTCCCCGGCTACCGCGGGCGGCAGTACGTGTTCGAGCCGGGCGAGTTCCGCCACTGGAACGACTGGGACGCCGGCCAGCCGCAGATGCAGTCCGTGCGTCGCATCCGTGACCAGAAGTGGCACAGACACGGCTGCTTCCTCAGCAGCTGAGCGCACCAGGGCCAGGGGTCATCGCCGTCCCCGGGGAGGGGGCAGCGGGGTCAAGAAGAGGAGGCTGCCCCACCAGGATGAGGGTCATCCTGCAACCCCTTCCCCAGAATCTACTCAATAAAGCCTGGGGTCGGACCCCACCTGCCATGCTGCTCTGCGTCACTTTCTGGGGTGCGGCTGGGGGGTGACAGTGGCCCAAGACCCTAGGAAGGGCTGAGGCTGCACTGCGCCCTGGACCGGCCCTTCCAGGTGAACACGGGCAGCCCTGCCATGACCTTGCTTGTCAGCCATGTGTCTCCACAGACAGTGTCCATCCCTCCATCCACCCACCTGTCCATCCACCCACCCAATCGCCCGCCCACCCGTCCACCCACCCACCAGTCCACCCACCCGCCCACCCACCCACCCACCCGTCCCCCATCCACCCGTCCCCCATCCACCCATCCCCCATCCACCCACCCATCCACCCATCCACCCATCCCCCATCCACCCACCCACCCACCCACACACCCGTCCACCCACCCAATCGCCCGCCCACCCGTCCACCCACCCGTCCACCCACCAGTCCACCCATCCACCCACCCATCCATCCACCCGTCCACCCACCCACCATTGTCTGTCCATCCATCCTTCTTCCATCTTTTTATATTCTCTCAATTATCCCTCCTTACTTCCACCCACCCTTTCATCTACTCATCCATCAATTCTTGCTTCAACCCTTTTATCCATCAGTCTGTCCACGGTATCTCCCTCCCATCCATCTGTCCTTCTGTCCCTCCTTCCCCCTACACCCATCCATCTGTCATTGTCACCCCCACCTCTCTATGGTCTGTTGACTCGCCCGTGCAGGAGGCGCCATGCTGGTGACGCAGGACGAGGTCAAGGCCGTGACCTCCATGGGAGAGACAGGAAATAAGCGGAAAGTTCTGGTGTGGGGTGGGAGGTGGCGAGGGCTGAGAGGAACGGGGAATGATGGTTGTGGGCAGTGCACTCAGCTCTGAGGTGACACTTGAACCAAAGCGTGAATGACGGTGAGGACGTCTGAGGCAGAGGACGAGGTGCCCGCAGGCCCGGGACACAGCAGGAGCCGGTGGTCCGGGATGGAGTGAGTGAGAGACAGGGGTCAGAAACACGCAGGAGATGAACCAGTGCAGGCTGTAACTCATACACACGGGAAGTCACGAGGAAACCCCGGCGCGCTGTCTCAAACCAACAAACATGGCATTTTCTTCTTTTTCCTCAGACACAATCAGAGAACAGGAGAGCAGAACGGGTCCTGCCTGGGGGAAAGGGGTGGAAATGGTGGGAGGGACAGGGTGTCAGGAGAGGGTGAAGTAGGGTGAATGTGGTGGAATATTATGCACTCATGAAAGAAAATGGAAAAATGAGACCTGCTGAAACTCTTCCAGGCCCGGGGGAAGGGACAAAGGAGACTGATGGGGGGTGAATTCAAGCCTGACGTGTCATAAAAACTCTTCCAAAAGCCACGGACTCTAGCCTGAGGGAGGTGAGCGCCACGGTGTCTGAGCGAGGCCAGCCGTGGTGTCACAGGGCCTGGAGGCCATGGGAGGCGGCCACCTAGCCGTGGTGAGCCATGGTGACGCGGTCCCCTGGCCTGTCCTGCAGGCCGCAGCGTCTCCTTCCTGCCCCGAGGCCTTCCCAGCCCTGGTTGGGATGGACCCCGTTCCCAGTGCTACCACCGACCACCGTTCCGAGCCTCTGTGGCTCCGTCAGGACGGTGGTGACACCGGCAGTGCCAGCCGTAAACATCTGCCCAGGGTGGGGAGTGGAGGACATTGAGCCACCAAGAGCCGGCTCCTCCCGGCCCCCCAGCCCAGCCCACCCGACTTTGTGCCCTGTCACCCCGGGAGCGGCAGCTCTGCGGGAGGCCAGGGGTCCTCGGAGGACTTTGAGAAGAGGGTCAGTAACTCATTTCTCCAAATAAACCACACAGTGCCAACTCACCTGACTTCCTGCTTCAGGGTGAATGGGGGGCTAGGGGACCATGACTCAACTTGGCTTCCCCTTGTGGGGTGACAGCCTCACTCTGTCCCCTTCGTCCCTGTCACAGGAGGCTGTTTTACGCTTGTGACTCAGTGCTTGCTGGGCGGTGGCCCTGGCCAGGGCTGTGTGGCCAGAGACAGGGAGTCAGCAGAAAATGGGGTTAACAAGGAAATATCCGCGACGCCCCCTGCCTTTCAGCGTTCTCCAGTCCACAGACAGGTGGCGACAGCCTTGCTGGACAGTCTCTTGTCTGTCCAGAGAGCCACCGTGCCTTGTCCAAGGGCCACATCTTCTGGGCATGGGACGAGGATGCACATCCGGGGCTGTGTCCAGAGCCCGGCTCTGCCTGGGCCTGGTCCTGGTCCCGGTCCTCAGCCCGGTGGCTCATGACAGGCTCCCGGGGAGCAGGGGTCAGCGAGGCTTTGTGGGGACAGTGCACTGAGGGTCAGCCTGCCCTCCTCTCTCGGGGCCGATTCTAGTGGTGGGGTTCAGATGGACTCTCAGGTCCAGGCAGCTCTAGGTGCTCACAATAACTAATTGCAAGTTCTCCACGTGTCCTGCTCTGTCATGTGGCCCCATGGGAGTCTCAGAAAGGGCCGGTCAACTGCTGAGGTCACACAGCTAGGGGTGGCAGAGCAAGGATCAACCCCAGCCTATGGCCGGCTGGGTATGGTGGTGCACACCTGTAATCCCAGCTACTCAAGAAGTGGAGCGGGAGGATTGAGGTCTGAGGAGAGAGACCCCATCTGAAAAGCAAACTAAAAGCAAGAGGACTGGGGGTGGGGCTCAAGTGGTGGAACTGAGTTGAATCCCCAGTATTGCCAAAAGAAAAAGAAAAGCAAAGAGACCCTATGGGCTCTGGGTTGCTCCAGGCAGGACCCCTGTGTGGCCTGATCCCCTCCAAGTCCCGAGCAGACACGGGAAGATGAACAAGTGGCGAACGAGAGAGTGAGCGTTGAGAAATGCCACCTCGGCCCCGCTCTGAGCTCACGTCTTGGCCAGAGGTTTTGGCGAGGGGGTACCCGCCCCCCCCCAGGCTTGGTTTACTTCCCTGTGAAAATTGAGCGAAAATTCAACCTCCCACACTCTGCTTTCTCTCCCTATCGGCCAGCGGGAGCTCGGCTTCTTCCCACCAGCACTGCGGGAGGTGCGGGACACGGGAAGGGAGGCCTGGAGGACAGAGGGGCCGGCACCACAGTCCTTGGGGTTTTGTGGAAAGCACTGTAATTTAAAGATTAGAAAACTTCCCTTGAGTCAGACTCATCTGAGTTCAAGTTCTGGTTCCACGGCTTCCTGGATGTGTGATCTGGGACAAGCTGTTCAAGTTGTCTCAACCACAGCGTCCCAGATGTGGTTGGGTGGACGGGTGGATGGGCGGGTGGACAGACGGGTGGATGGATGGATGGGTGGATGGATGGATGGGTGGATGGACTGGTGGGCGGGTGGATGGGTGGGTGGGTGGGTGGCTGGGTGGGTGGCTGGGTGGGTGGGTGGCTGGGTGGGTGGCTGGGTGGGTGGGTGGGTGGGTGGACGGGTGGGTGGGTGGACGGGTGGGTGGGTGGACGGGTGGGTGGGTGGACGGGTGGGTGGGTGGCTGGGTGGGTGGCTGGGTGGACGGGTGGGTGGGCGGGTGGGTGGGCGGGTGGGTGGACGGGTGGGTGGACGGCTGGGTGGGTGGCTGGGTGGGTGGTGCTGGGTGGTGGGTGGGTGGTGGGTGGGTGGATGGGTGGGTGGATGGGTGGATGGGTGGATGGGTGGGTGGGTGGGTGGGTGGGTGGAGTGGGTGGACGGGTGGGTGGGTGGCTGGGTGGGTGGATGGGTGGGTGGACGGGTGGGTGGGTGGGTGGACGGGTGGGTGGGTGGGTGGACGGGTGGGTGGGTGGACGGGTGGGTGGGTGGACGGGTGGGTGGGTGGACGGACGGGTGGGTGGGTGGACGGACGGGTGGGTGGGTGGACGGGTGGGTGGGTGGGTGGAGGGTGGACGGGTGGGTGGGTGGGTGGACGGGTGGGGTGGGTGGGTGGACGGGTGGGTGGGTGGGTGGGTGGGTGGATGGGTGGGTGGGTGGGTGGGTGGGTGGATGGGTGGGTGGGTGGGTGGACGGGTGGGTGGGTGGACGGGTGGGTGGGTGGACGGGTGGACGGGTGGCTGGGTGGGTGGACGGGTGGGTGGGTGGGTGGACGGGTGGGTGGGTGGACGGGTTGGGTGGGTGGACGGGTGGTGGATGGGTGGGTGGTGGGTGGATGGGTGGGTGGATGGGTGGTGGGCGGGTGGGTGGGTGGGCGGGTGGGTGGGTGGGCGGGTGGGTGGGTGGACGGGTGGGTGGGTGGACGGGTGGGTGGGTGGGTGGGTGGGTGGGTGGGTGGACGGGTGGGTGGGTGGACGGGTGGGTGGGTGGGTGGGTGGGTGGATGGATGGGTGGGTGGTTGTTTGGGTAGGTTAGAGTTGGGGTTAGGGTTAGGGTTAGGGTAGGGTTAGGGTGGATGGTTTGGTGGACGGGCGGTTGAATACCAGTTTCTGCAAATGAGCCTCCTTTACTTCTTTTCCCCAGGGCCATCGTGATGTCCATCTCTGCCGTGCTCCGGGGTCTGATGACCAGGCTCGTGAACCTTGCCCGCCCCCGTCCTGGCAGCGGCAGGGCTGATACAGGCAAAGCAGGCATCTCCTTGCCGGGCCGCCTGACCGCCCTGGCGCGGCTAAATGTGAAAGCGAATGACATTGCTGTGTGGAGACACAATGTCTGTGGGCATTTGCTGACCCAGGCTTGGCGTGGGCTTAGTCCAGCATTGTCACCCTGCTTTCCGCAGGCACGCAGCGGTCACCGTGTTGGCACCAGCACTCCTGGGGAGGATATAAAGGCCACCTCCTGCCGCCCAGGCCAGGGCACTCGCGGGGCTGGTGTACCGGTAAGAGCGACTCTCTTGCTTCCCTGGCCTGTTGTCTTCTCTTCCTCCCTGGGGGACTTGGGTTGGCTCAGGAGCCACTGCTTTCCGACAAGGTGACCTTGGGCA